GTATAGATTCAATGTAAGCCTTATCAAACCCAAGCAGGCATTTTAATAGAAATTAACAAATTTGTCCTAAAATTTATATGGAACTGCAAAGACCCAGAATAAGCAAAACAATTTTGATAAATTGGAGGGCTTAGACTATCCAATTTCAAACTTTAACTCGTGTAAAAATAGGCAAATTGAATGGAACAAAATCAAGAGTCTAGAAATAAATTTTCATTTATGGTCAACTGATTTTCAACAAATAAATGAAGGCAATCTAATGTGGGGAAACAGTCCTTTCAATAAAAGGTACTGGAACAATTGACATACATATGCAAAATTATGTTTTTAGACCCTTGCACCATATCCAAAAATTAACTCAAAATGGATTACAGACCTAAATATAAGCATTAAAGCTTTAAAACTTCTAGAGGAAAACACAGGAGAAAATCTTTGTGACCTTGGGTTGGGCAAAGATTTCTTAGATCTGAAACCAAAAAACACAATCCATAAAAGAAAACAAATTGATAAGTGAGACCATTGAAATTAAAAACATTTGTGATTCAAAAGTTAGTATAAGAAAATGAGAAGATAAGCCACAGACGGGGTGGGGGGTGGGGGTGGGGGAGAATCACATACCTGATAAAGGATTTGTACTTAAAATATACAAATAAATCTTACAACACAATAAGACAAGCAATTCAATTAAAAATGAGCAAAAGATTTGAATAAACATTTTGCCAAATAAGGTAAATTTGTGGATAAACACATACAAAGCTTTCCACGCCATTAGTCATCGGGGAAATAGAAATGAACGCCGCAGAGACAGCCCGCTGTGTTCTAGAATGGCTACAATCACAAGCCAGGCGACGACAAGCAGTATTGACAGGGATGTGGAGCACCGGAACCTCGGATGCTGGTGGGCATGCACAGTGGTGCAGCCACTTTGGAAAACAGTCGGACAGTTTCTTACAAACTTAAACTTTAGCATATGACCCAGCAATCCCACAGCTAGAGAAATAAACACATGTTCCACAAAGCCTTGGGATTAACAACAATCCAATGTCCATCAATAGGCAAACAAAAAGTCATATAGCCATACAACGGACACTGTCAGAAATAAACTACCCACATTCCATGACGTGAAGGAACCTCATGCTAAGGGAAGGAAGCCAGACACAAAGCCTACATATTCCACAGTCCTTTTCACAGGAGACATTCAGAAAAGACCCATCAATAGCTACAGAAACCAGATCTGCGGTTGCCTGGGGCTGGGATGAAATCGAGGATGGACTGCAAACCAGCACAGTTACTCGTTGGGGGGATGGAAATGTTCTAAAAGTGATGAATGCGTTGATGGTAGCACAACTCCACCGAATTGTACACTCACCATGGATGAATTTTATAGATGTAAATTACACCGCCATATCAAAGCTGTAAAAACTGTAACCAGCAAGGGGGTGGGGTGCACTGATGTGACCCCCAACACCCACGGCCTGTCCTGCCTCAGCACCTGTTTCCACAAACTCGTCCCGTCCCCGTCCCCCCCCCCCCCCCCCCCGCCCGCTGTTCTCCCCTGAGATAAACAGATAATTCTCAAAATGTACTCTGGTCTGCCATCCTCTGATCTGGCCCAACTAAGCCCGGCGGCAGGCAGGGTCAGGGGCTCCAGTCACCTGCAAGAGCCCTGTGGACAGCACCTGTCACTCCACACCAACTTCCCAGCAGCCGGGGCAGAGAGCTCCTGCTTTGGAGTCCTGTCCTGTTTGTGGCCTCAAGTCCCAGCAGAGCCCCATCCGTCACCCTTCCCTACAAGCCACAGCCCTGCTCCAGGCCCAGAAGGGATCGATTTGCTCAGCACCCAGCAGGCAGGTAAACTATATTAGACACAGACCCTCGCTCAGTCCAGACCCTGGTGGAGTGGTGGGGAGATGGGGAGGCCCTGAAGAGAGAAGTCCCAGCTCCGCCATCAGGAGCTTACCAGGAGTTACCACCAGCAGGAGGGAACCTCCCCTCCTCACACCTCACACCTCACACCTCCCCTCCTCACACCTCCCACCTCACACCTCCCCTCCTCACACCTCACACCTCACACCTCACACCTCACACCTCACACCTCCCCTCCTCACACCTCCCCACCTCACACCTCCCCTCCTCACACCTCACACCTCCCCTCCTCACACCTCACACCTCCCCTCCTCACACCTCACACCTCCCCTCCTCACACCTCACACCTCCCCTCCTCACACCTCACACCTCACACCTCCCCTCCTCACACCTCACACCTCACACCTCCCCTCCTCACACCTCACACCTCCCCTCCTCACACCTCCCCACCTCACACCTCACACCTCCCCACCTCACACCTCCCCTCCTCACACCTCACACCTCCCCTCCTCACACCTCACACCTCACACCTCCCCTCCTCACACCTCACACCTCCCCTCCTCACACCTCACACCTCACCCTCACCCTCCTCACAAGGGCCCAGGCCCAACCAGGCAGCAGCAGGGCCTACCTGGGGAAAGGACTGTGCCAACCCCACTGGATGGTCTCCAGGTCACGGACCCTGCAAGCGGTCTAACCCAGGGGGAGGTGTCTTCCTTTCCAGGCACCAGGCGTGGCTCAGCAGTTCAAACGCTTCCCAGTATTTGTTGCAGGCACTCCATATATATATATATATATATATATATATATAATTTTTTTACAGAGAGGAAGGGAGAGGGATAGAGAGCCAGAAACATGGATGAGAGAGAAACATCGACCAGCCGCCTCCTGCACACCCCCTTCCGGGAATGTGCCCACAACCAATGTACATGCCCCTGACCGGAATCGAACCTGGGACTCTTCAGTCCGCAGACCGACGCTCTATCCACTGAGCCAAACCGGCTTCGGCCCCATCCACTACTTTAGGCACCACAGGCGCGCCTCGTTTTATTGTGCTTCACAGGTGTTGCTTTTTTTTTTTTTTTTTTTTTTTAACTAAAAAGATAAGACCCTTCACCTGCAAAAAGATCTTGACTCACTTTATTGCAACACTCACTCCATTGTGGTGGTCTGGAACCAAACCCGCAGCCCCTCTGAGGTGCGCCTGTTCTCAACCGTCAAACGCCCAGACCCCCTGGAGGCGCGCAGGGAACTGCAATCCCGGAGGCCGAGCCGCTGGACTCCAGCAATGCGTCTGCGGCTGTGCCCGAACACATCTGCACGTTAAACTACCAAGGACAGCGAAGCTTTCAAAGGGAGAAGATCAAAGTGCTGTCATCTTTTAATTTAATCCTTTTGTTGCATCCGTGGTCTTAAGAGGGATGGGAAGAGATCAAAATAAAAATGGAAACAAACTATATCCTTGTGGCTGTTGTGTTTTAGCCCTTTTCCCCCTTCAATTTGGGCCACAAAATAGGTCAGCTCCATTACTGATCAGCCTTCCCACAAATATTTAAAACAAATTGAATTGCACACCCAATACCCATCACAATTACACCAGGCACAATAACTAAATTAGCAATTCAACAAAATAATTGGAAATGCGATTCTCTCTATTCCACCCGTCTCCCTCGAGGGTTCCGCCGATCTGTGGGGGGAAACTCAGCTTTCCTAATTCTGCAGCTAATTAGATTCACACTTGTAAATGAAGTTGTTTGTCTTAAAGTTAAAACTCTCTTCTGGGGGTGGGGAGAGGGGAGGAGAGGCGAGAAAGCCCTTCCGCTCTGGAGCGAGTGTACGAACAGGTACGGAGCGCACACGCCTGGGTTCTGATTGGCGACCATATCTGCAAATAATAAAAGCATCGCTATTCACCGTCACTTATCTGGTCATGAGCGCCTTCAGAAGAGCCTGGCTGCCGTCCTGGTGGGGGCGGGCCTTCTAGTGCCCCTGAGACCACAGGGGGCAGCGAGAGCCCAGGAGGTGCCAGCCGGCCAGCTCCCGCGTGGGCCTCCCTGTTGGGGCGGGAGAAGCAGAGGCTTATTTTAAAAGAAAACTGAGGGGAGGCGCCCACGCCTAACAGACTCCTCACCCCCACCCCCGCGGTGGACAGCAGCCAGTGCGGGGGGCCAGGACCCCTTCCCCAGCCAGAGGTGGCTCTGGGCCCCAGCCCCCTGCTCGGGCCACTCGGGGGAAGCAATTTTGAGGTTTCAATTAGTCTGTCCTTGGCCTCTTTTTGTTCCTCTAGGAAGGGAAATCTCGGCTTAATTATATAACTGAGAACTAGGGCTCACGTTCGTCCCCTCTTACCCTCCTTTGCCCAGATCAGGATGTGACCTTAAAACGCGAAGGCTGGAGGCGCCCGTCGGTGGGGGCCCCTGCCGCCCGCACACACCTGGGCGCCCTTGGGGGGCGGGGGGGGGGGGGACAAAAGCCCAGCCTTCCTGGCGAGGCCAGCGGATGAAATGGAGGTCCCGGGGCGTGGGGCAGCCTCCTTTCCCAAGATCCCCCAGGACCGCACGGTGCCCAGGTGGGGGTGGCTGGCCCAGCAGCCTGCAGAAAGGCTGATAAGAACACTCAAAAGCACCTGCTTCTTCCTGCTGATCTCCTCTCACAATACACGCCCGGAGTTAACCACGCTCAAAGTGTTCCGTATTGGCCTTACATTTAGCTCTTAAAATCCAGCGCAGTCTGCTACAACTTTAAAGGACACAGGAGACACACTGGGAAGTCATTTCATGGCACCAGGAAGTCAGTTCCCAGCTGACCCCAGGCAGGAAACTCTGGATCCCACAGCCTCCTGCTCCCCACCCCCTGGTCTAGGACGGGGCTCCCCCCGCCTGGACACTTACCTGGAATCAGCCCTGGGCCACACTGGAGCTCTCCACGTCCCGTCTGCTGATCATTTCCCTCATTTTTATTTTGGCCTTTAGTTTTACTTGAAAAAAGGTTTAGAAATAGGACTGAGTTGTCCAATACAGAGGCCACCGGCCACATTTCAAAGCTCCAAAGATGCAGGGTACGATGGGGTGATGGCACAGTGATAGGAGTCCAGCCCCAGCACCCCAGGAAGTTCATTAATAATTTAATGAACCCAGACTCGGCTCCTTCGGAATGAAGCGGTGAAGAGGCAGTCACCTTGGAGGTCTTGGGCAGCTCTGGCCTAGACGCTCTGGACGCTCCCAGCGTGGGAGGCTCCCAGGACCCAGGGGGGCGCGGGAGGCAGTGGCCTCCAGGACGACAGTCCCTCCCGCTCAGAGCCGCCCTCTCACGGAGAGGCAGACTCCGCAGAGCAGCAGGCTGACTGCTTCCCAATGCGAGTCAGCCACACCTGCACAGGGATGCACCTGGCAGTCCCGGAGGCTGGGCTCGCAGAGGCCCACTTTGGAGCCCAGGAGCACCTGGCCAGGCTGACCTCTGACCTCGGGAACCAGAACCTTGGGAAATTGATCTCAAGCCCATAAGGGTTTCAGAGCCTGGGCTTCAAGGAAGACCAGCAGGATTAATAGAAGCACCTCTACTGGGTGCAAGGGGTTCGATCAGATCCAAACTGGAGAATGCAGAATCTACAGAAGAGAACAGAGATGCCTCCCCCCACCCCCTGCCTGTGTGACCTGCCAATACAGTCCTTTGCTAAGCCTCCACCAGGCCTGGCACACAGTAGGAGATCAATCAGTATCTGAATGGACGTGAAAAAACATTCCGGCACCTGTGCTAAACCCAAATCTACCATGCTGCCTTCACTCAGAAGCAGCAGCTTTAGATTAGGAAGGTCCTCAGAAGCCAACTTCTTTGGCCCTAATACCATGCACAGTGAGGACCCAGGCCAAAGGTCAAAAGACTTCCTCAAGGTCACATCCTAGCAATTTTTATTTATAGTCCAGATTTCTCCCCACTACATCTCTCATTCATATCTATCTGTCCTGGATTCAAAACATCACATATGCTCGTTCCAAAACCAGCTATGTGCCCCCCCCCCCAAGTCTCTATTGAAATTGGGTAACATGTCCCCTAAGTAAGGACAGTCCCCACCTGGGGAGGGCAGACCAGAGAGGAGGGAGCAGCCAGCCCCATGTGACTTGATGGGCAGCCTGCCGGCCCAGAGCAGACTGAGCTCATTTCCAATCGAGCCATAAAGGGGAAGATCTGATGGGAGGAGGGCGGGCAGGTGCTGTCATTGTCTATAGGGGACCTTATATTATTTTCTACCCTATCAATGATACGGGATTGCTTTTTTGTGTTTTTTTTTTAAACGTTCTTTTAAAGTTTCTTTTCTGGGAACTCAGTGTCCTTGACCTCAACAAATGAAGTGAGAACCCTCAACCAGGGGAAATAAACCAAACAAACCTCTCAGGAATATAAATGCTGCCGGGGCAATGACCCTTACTGGCAGACCCCACACCACGGGCAGGAAAGGCAGGGTAAAGGAAATCTATAGATAAACAAGAAAAACAAGTTAGATCGGGCAGACTCACGGCAGCTCCGCCAGCCCTGTCCTCTGCAGACCAGGGCAGCCAATGACTCATCCGAGCGGTGGGAGGAGTGGGTGCAGGCACAGCAGCTGGGCATATGGACCCCCTGCACTTAAGAAGAATTAGTTAATGAACTTACCAAATCACTGGCAATTACCTCTGAAGTGTTATGAAGACAGAGAAAGTAAAAAAAAAGATGGAAAGAAAATAAGGTAGATAACACTGAAAAAAAGAATAACTAAGGCAAGCTTAATTTATTCAGCACAGTTGCTCCCAATACAGACACAAACATACATTTAAAAAGTAAAAACAAACTCAAGTGCAGAGAATAGGATTCATTCGCGTTAGACAAGGCTCGCTGCTTGTACCTGTCTGTTCAATGCAAGTGCATGGGATGACCATGAGGGTGTCGGACAGCAGCAGGGCAGCCGCCGGGCAGGGAGCCCCCGCACCTCTGCACCCACAGCCTCGGGCTCCTCCAGGACCACCTGCACCTCCACGGTCTGTAGTTTCGCTGAGGCGTGTGGCTGCCTTGTTTGTGAACCTAGCCCAGGCAGACAAGGACACTCCACACAGGGAGGGACTGCTATGTCCTGGGAAATAGTCCCCCGTTTATGATGAGTATCACCTGAGGATTCATCCCAAGCCCCCGGACTCCGCTCCTCTGGGATGAAGCGGTGAAGAGGCGGTCATCTCGGAGAGGTCTCAGCAATGCACGTGGAGACCAGGAAAATCAAAGTCCACGAAGATCCTACTTTTCTCAACTGGAGACGGATGCAGAGTCTGCTGCTGGACGGCTGGGGGTGGCCTGCCCTGGTGCCCTTGGCTTCCAGGGTTTCCCTACGATGCTCAATAAGCGGTTTTGGATGTGACTCTGGAGACAATGGCTACACACCCCAAACAGCACAGAGCAGCTGCAGGAAGGCACACCCACCCGAGGCAAGGACGCCCACCTGAAGATCCCCAGGAGCATGAGAGCCAGAGGGGAGAGTGGATCTATTGTAGCAGCGAGAAAAAAAGATGGGTGGGGGGGGGAGATGGTGTCGCTTTTTTATTATTTATCCACCATCTTTCATGGGAGCATCCAAAGCACATTACAGGCAGGAGCTCTTCAATCCTCCCAGAGGATGCTGCTGATTTGAAGGGCTCCCTGGGGAGTAAGAAATAAACCCAGGATCAGACTCCAGGGCCAATCTCCACTCTGCCTCTCAGCCCCACCTAAAGCAAGTGAGATGTGAACAAGCCCCCGTGATGTGTCCCAAGAGCCTTCAAAATACTCAGATTCTTTCACTTGATTCCCTGTACTCCTAAAAACATATGCCGAGTAAAACAATTTTAAAAGACAATAAACAAGCTTTTTGCTCAAATGTTTTTGCTCAAAAAAAAAATAAAAAAATTTGCTCAAATATCAAATTTGCTCCCTGTAACATTATTCATAATAGTAAATAATTTACATGCTCAACAACAGGGGATTTGGTTAAGCACTGATGATACATATCCCAAATGGAATTACTAGTTAGCAATGAAAATACTTGTGCTATCTGCAAAAATGTGAAAGTAATCTTTTACTCTTAGTATTAAAATGCAGAATATACTGTGTACCACTGGATCTCAATTGGTGGTGTGAGTGTGTTAGGTGGAGGGGGAGACAGTGCATGGCTGTGTGGTTGTTTTGCCTTTATTGTTTTTAAAGGGTAAGTACATTTTGGACTGTCCCAAAGTAAAAACCAAGTCTCCCACCCCCACTGCTCCGGGGAGACGGGGTCCCTGGGCGACGGCACCTGCACAGGGAAGAGGCAGTGAAGCACGAAGTGTCGGTAACGAGAAGTGGGTGTGTCTGGGTAGTGGATTACAGCCCAGTCTTATTTTTATTTGTTCCTTCTATTTCTCTAGAATTATTTTAAAATATATTTTTATTGATTTCAGAGAGGAAGGGAGAGGGAGAGAAACATCAATGATGAGAGAGAATCACTGATCAGCTGCCAACTGCACGGCTCACACTGGGGATTGAGCCCACAACCCAGACATGTGCCCTGACTGGGCGGGAATAGAACCAGAACCTCCTGGTTCATCGGTCCACAGTCAACCACCGAGCCACAACAGCCAGGCTTCTGTAATTAGTTTTTAACATAAAATCAACGAGGACAAGCAACCAGCCTTCTCTTCTCTATCCTGAAGGGAGAAGCCCAGCCTCAAGTATGAGCCTGGGCACTGCCTGTGTCCGCTGTGACCAGCTTGCCACCTCCCCGTCCTGGGAGGACTTCAGGGTCTGTGGTTTCTGAGTGTCGTGCGTGAAGTAGTCAGCTGGGCAAAAAGAAAATAAGCAAATTCCACACAAAAGGGAGGAATGCTTCAGTCAACACTGAGAAAGGGCTCTGGATTGAAACTCCTGATAACAGTTCTCAACTCATTTAAAAATCAGCATTAGCTACCAAAATGTAAAGTATTAGTTTTATTAAAATGCAAATCGATCAACTAATCTGTCTTTCTAGTAACAGTTGAATTGCAGTATCCGTGTCAATTAAAATAGTTTCCAATTTATTCTTGGCTGGAAGGAGGGTGGTCTTCTGAATTTTAAAATGCAAGCCTCCCTTTACTGAAAAGGCTGTCTGCTCTTTCTCATTCTTCCTGATTCATTTAATTCATTTAATTAAACAGGTCTGATTCCAAATATTTTGAAGTACCTGTTTAAATCTTTTTCTTCACCAAGTAAAGAGTAATGATGACGAAGGTTCTATCTTTTTAGGAAACGTGGGTTATAGCATGAAGCTCACTGAAGTCCAATCTGAGGACACTTCCTGGCTGTTCCCACTGAATCCGCAGGCTAGATCATTTTGAAGAGAGTAGTTGTGGGGGAACTCTCCTATTTCTGCTGATTGATCTCCTGGGTAACTGGAGACACATGGAAAATTAAACATTTCCCTGATAGTCAAGCCCAAGAGGTAACCTCTGAGACAAGAAAAACAAATCACCACGTTCCAGGGTCCAATTAATGGGAGATGGAAAAACCCTCCTCCCGCCACGGGCCCCATCCTGAGCTCAGCAGACACCGATGCTCACAGAAATGGAAGTGAATTACACTCAGGATCCACTGCACTGGGCCAGCCTTTGGGCACACAGTCTCCAAACGCTAAGCCCATGATACGTGGGATTCAGGGACACAGAAATCTGTCACTTGGCTTTGACATTTTAAAACCACCCGAAAATCCGACTTTAAAAACAATGACTAGTTATTGATGACAACTGCACTCAGCTGCCTGGATGCAACATTTCTCCTCTAATTCCGAAGCTTTAAATAAAGATTTGGGCAAGGTACGGAGGAGATGGTCAGTGCTGTCCGCTGGTCGGCACACATTACTTATGCAAGATAATCTTCATTGCATATTGACCACAGCAGGCCAATAAATCCCCCTTATGGGGATTTAATTTCCAGCTTGTGACCTCTGGATGAAAAACAAGTGAATCATTTCCTCCTGCTAGATTTACACCAGAGCAGATCTCAATAAAGTGATTTAGGAATGGCGAGAATGGAAAAGGACGCTGGCAGAATCTTTATGGGTGGGGAAAAAAAAAAATGAGTCAGAGATTTGTATTCAGCAACAAATCGGCAAATACTCCCAAGTGACAAAGTCTCCAGGGCATAACTTAGAGGTTTTGGGAGTTCCCTGCTCCTCAGAGCCACAATCAATTGCTAAACATTGTCCACTCAGAAAGCAACATTCACCAGCCTTCTGTGAAGCTCTACGTGGCAAGCAGTTACCTATTGGGCTTGCTAGAGCTCTAAATCAGACCTCACTCCGTGCTGCTCAAGAAACCACATGGCCAGGAACAACGCTCTTTATTGGTGGTGGCTCAAGGACATGGGGGAAGGGCGCTTTGCACACGAAAGTGCGAGAAACAAAGACAGGTGACTCCAGGCGTCCTGGGACTTTGCTGGGCATCTGTCCCTGACTCACTCAGCCCCACAGGCCAGCGGCTTCCTCCACGTGGGGCTGGGTGAGCAGCCAGCCTGGCCACGGCACCGCCGGGCTGGAGGCCACCCTCAGGCCTTGCAGCGAGAGGGCTGGGTGCTGTCAGTCCCCGTGGCCTCCGTCAGGAGGGTTGAGTTGGCCAAAAAGAGATCGATATAACTCTGTCCTAGAAGACAAACAAAACAAATTGGTTAACACATTGGTTAACTTTCCAAGGTTAAAAAAAGAACTAAGCTCGGAAATACCCCAATCCGTTTGTTCAATTGAAACCACAGCCATGTAATTAAAAATGCATCCCACAGGTCTTATTCACAAATACAGAGAGAGGGAGGAACTAGAAGCCAATCCAACAGTGAGATGTGTAAACGGTCCAGTGTGGCTGCACACCCCGTCTCCAGGGAATGAGTTTTCTGTAAGTTTGCCCTTTACAGACAGGCTCCTCAAGTAAGAAAACAAGATTGAATATTTTAATAGGATGTATGAGACTGCCACACGATGAGGAGGATTCAATCAGACATGGGATGGAGGGATATAATTTAGTTTTCATACATTTTCTTCGACTTGGCAGTACTTGAAAAACAATGAAAATGACCCAGCAACAAGATTCCAATTACTGTCACATGTGCAGCCATTCAGTGGGACCACGGTGCTTCCCACTCCCCTGCCCCTTTCCCTGCTCTCAATCTAATAAGTAATTCCAACGCCTAATTTATTATTTCTAAAATTGGAGTTTGACGTTATGAGAGCCACCACATGCCAAGGTCCTGAGTCCTTGGAAATAAAGTAAACGATGTCTAACCTCTGTTTCAAATACAACATACACACAACTATTCGGCGATTCACGTGTCAAGGCCTGGAAAGTCTCAAAAAGACAAGGCCCTCTCCTATCTTCATGGCAGAAACCCCAGGACATTCCCCCTGTGGGCAGAGAGAGAGGAATCAGAAGGTCTACACCGGTCAAATCCACTACAGAGGCGGCCTGTGGAGGACGTGACAAACGGAGGCAAGTGACGCACGGCCACTAATTCTCAGGGAAGAGGGATGGGCTGGCACCGGCTAAGGCTCCAGGCTCCCGGCCAGGAGTAAACAGGCCCAGAAGAAAGCTGTACCTGCTCTGTTCTATACTTTCAAGATCTAACCCCAAATGTAGCCTGTCCTTCTTGTTAAGAAAACAGGCTTTTAAAAGTGCTTTTATTACCTGAGAGTCATCATCAGCAAACCTGACCTTCAAACTAAAGCAAACAAACAAAAACCCCCACAACACCAGCATCCTTCAAACAGCTTTCTTGGTTCAGCAAGATTTTAACATAAAAACGTATTTGTCCGTTTTTTAAATTATCCCACTATAGTTGTGGTAGGAATAGCGGTCTATAATTAGAAAATCCAGCAATAAAAATAGCATGTGAAAGCTTTTTAAAAAGAAAAGGATCTTTAAAAAGAAACCACAGAAGCTGAGAATATCAATAGCCTTACGGTGCTGAGCACTCCCAGGGCAGCCCTGACAAGTCGGGCCGGACAACAGCCGCTCTCCAATCCCATTGCAGGCAATCGGGGCAAGAACTTGCTGCTGCCCTCGCTCTGAACACTGGACCAGCCCCGGCCTCCCGACAAACGAAGGAGGCAGGTTCACTCTGTGCTCCATCAGCTCTTTTGTTCCTGCCTCCCCTGGTCAGCCCCGGACACCAGCCTAGAAGTGAGAGGCAGCTTCATGCTAAATGCAAGTCTGAGGCAGCAGCCTCACTTCCAGTTGCTTCCAAATCACCAGCTCCATCGCAGACGCGACAGCAAGACCCTGCCCAAGCTGCCCTCATCACGCGATGGCCTGCCTGTCTGCCAGTAAGTGCGTGTCTCTCTTGCCATTTCACAAAAAATCAAGCGGCACGGAAGGGAGAGCCTCCATGACAAATAGGAAAGTCTGAGTTTAAGGCTGCAGCATCAGACAAGAGGGAAATACAGAGGCACATGCTTATTCAACCTTCGCAACAGTACCCCCGCCCCCTCACTTGAGCCTGCCACAGCCGCCCCATCATTACCACCAGCAAATGCTTCCTCTCAGCGCCAGGCCACAGAGAAGCGCCTGGGCTGGTCAGCAGTTACCATCCCTGCAGGGCTAGAGAGGCAGGCAGGGAATGCAATGCTGAAACCCATGTTTTGATTGAACATTGGTTCACACTAAAGTGGGCAAAGCTGACACAGACGAGGCTGTTCATGGCAAAGCAACCTGCAAAGTGGAGTGCTCTGGGTTCTTAAAATCTTTTTATGGAGAGAGGGAGAATATGAGAAAGGGCTTATTCCAATCTAAAACTCCCCAAGGAATTACAACTCCACGTCTTCCTCACCCACTAATCAGGGGCCGTTTGTGCCTTCAAAGCATCTCAAGCTCCCTGTTCCTACAGGCTCCACCACTTCAGGCCTCACGGTCTCTGACCAGGAATATGTGACCGCTCCTACCCGACTGCTCTGCTCCCTCCTCCTCGTCCCCTCTGCATTTCCCTCCCAGGCCTGGCTCCCTCCCAAGTCCAGGAGCACGGTCAGGATAAAGATCCAGCCCCTCCTTTTCCCTTACCCTTGCACAGGCTGCACATGGCAGGGCCTCCCACCTTGGGACCCCAACCAGTAAGGGTGGGGCCTCAGGCTCTGGTCCAACAGCTCTGCTACACCCCAACAGAATTTGACAAAACCCCTCACACATTTTCAAGTTTACATATAAATGTTTTCTACAATATAAACTTAATAATCACAAAGAATACAGTTATCAGAATACTGTGAACACTAATTTTTAAAATAAAACTCACATCTCTCTTGTAATACACCCAATGGACTCTATATGCCATATTGATTGCTACCCATCACTACTCATTTAAATAACACATAAACAAACTCTTTAACTTGGAAATGTTACAGAATTTTTCCTTTTAAATGTATATTTCCATTTGACTTTTCCCTAGAGATTTTGGTCCTAATATAATTGTTTTATGCTTGAAAGTCTTTTATTGATCACCCTATCATATTTCTTGGCCACAAAAATAAATATGTAAATTGAAACATTTTTGAAATTTAAAAAGATGAAATAAAAACATTCTAATTTCTTGCGACTATAAGGTTCTAATTAATTTTTAAAATTTATTTTTGGATTGTGTTATTACAATTATTATTAGGATATATTTGTATATACAATAACAATATAAAAAAGTGTATCATACAATACTTTTGGTATAAACGATGTATATAAATAAGTATAACATTAGTGGAAATGCATCTCTTGATGACACAGAAGAGGCTTCCTCTCCAGGACTGAGATTTATCTATTGCTGGAAGGAGTGTGTTCAGCATCGACCTGTTCCTGTTTTGTAGTTTTGTAGATGTAAGTACTGAGAGACCCTATCACATTAACAAGTAGGCGGGAATGGGAGGGTTTTGTTAGAGCAACACCACTCATTTATTTTAATTCTTTCTGAATTATATACGCCCCCCCCCAAAAAAAAAAATCATATAGTGATCTGCCACCAAAAGTCTGTTTTAATCGTCTACCAGCTGACAACTCAATCAACTTCTCCTGCATTTTGTTAAAAATAAAGGCCCTGCAGGGACTTGTTACCTAGCTCTTAGTCACTGCCATTCCCAATCCCTGCACCTGTAGTATGACCTTTTGTGTGGTGCCCACTGCAAGGCAACGTCCCAGGTCAGAGCAAGGTGTTAGAGGTGTGCTGGAGCCAGTGGGCAGAGGACAGCTGGGCCAGACCCGAGTGCACATCTGGATCCTGGACACTGTGTCTACTTTCCCAGGGGAATTCTCTGCACACCCAGGATGAAGACTGACGTATGGGTGCACTGAGCTCTGCCCCCCAAACCCAGATAGGAGGTACTGCCACTGCGTAGGGAAAGGTAGAGGCATCTGAAAAGCAGCAGGACGTGTCCATACCCCCCGCCCCATCCCAAGGAAAACAAAGCTAAAAATAAAAGTAGGTTGCAAAAAGTCACCATGTGACCAAGGGTAGGGCTGCCTTCTGCTGCAAGGACATGTCCGCTGCAGCAACCCCACTGATGAGGATTTAGCCACAAGCCCAGCTATCAATCCTCAGGTGACCCTCGTCTTCACCTGATTCTCTGGGCAACTGTAGTTTAATCCTAGAGGTTCCCCTTAAGGCCATGCATGATGTTGTTTGTTTGTTTTTAAAATACATAATTCCTGCTCTCTCCCACATTAAGAATCAAGAGTTGAATCACTGAGCTGAAATGCCTTCCCCCACAGTTTTGGCCTCAATGGCCAGTGGGAATGTCCACTGTAGAAAATGTATTAATGTTGGTCTCATGCAGGAGAATAACCTACAGAGTAATTAACAGGTCTTGGACCTGAGGTAGAAGGTCGATAGCAGGGGCTCTTCCTTGAATTAAAATTTAACTTACCCTTTATTGCAACCTACAAAAGCAAGTAATGAGCACTAACATTTTTATTTCTTTTAAACTGTCATTTAGGCTGTAGAGGAGATAATTACCTATCTCTAGTGTAGTAAGGTTTTATAACCCTTAGTAAGGCATTTTCTAATTTAATATTTTTACTATATTATCATAAAACCTGTTTCTGGGAGGAAAAATGATCATGGATTAGCAGCCATTTTCCATAAAGATTGTGTGTGTGTGTGTGTGTATGTGTGTGTTCAGCTTATTTATAAATATATGTGATTCTCCTGAAAAGATTTAAAGTATGCACAGTTTATTTGGCTGTGAAGTGCAGGTGAGGTTGAAACTGTCCTGATTGACGGTGGTGTACGTGTTGAATAATGCAGCCCCGTACGTGTGCACCCAATATTCCCTTCAGCTCCACAGTCCCTCCTCACCAACTGCAACACAGACCACTGTCTTCCACGCTGTTATCTGGGCAAACAGTGTAGAGCATACTGAACTTGCAGAGGATCTGTGTGGGGCTTGGATTTGCTAGGGAAGTAGCTTGCAGCACCTGGGATTCTGAGGGAAATGGACCACTGGACCCCAGAATGCTACACTCCCGACGCTGGCCAGAAACCCCCACATCTCCAAGATATCCCCGAGCTGCACCCGTCCATCCCTGTGGCCAAAGACAGGTGGACAGCAGAGGGAAAGCAGCAATGCCATTGCTTTCTAAAGAAACCTGTACAGCCCTAACCAGTTTGGCTCAGTGGATAGAGC